ATCAGGCGATCCACAGCGCAAAGTTGATGTATTTCCTCAGCAACCAGCATGGATCATCTCTAGGCATGACGAAGCGGATATCGTCCTCTTTTGGAAGGCCAAGCAAAGTAGTTTCGCTTTCACAATGAAACACACAGCATCTCCACAACATGGCAGCGGCGGCAGCAACAATACTACAGCGAGAATAAAAGTTACGCCTTCTTTCTTTGCGTGAACATTTGGGCGGCGTTATGCAAATCTTCCCACATTGTGACGTAGACATGTGGGGGCGTGTTTAAACAAGGTGTTTTAGGAGGGCGTGGACAAGTCTAAACTTTTATAAAGAATATCTCTTTGGATTTGAGACTTTAGTCTTTGCAACTTTACAGATCTTCTTTATGCACCAAGAGCTTGTAACACTCCAAAGAGAAAGGAAAAATTGAAATCGCATCATATGACCCCTTTAAGTAAGTAGAAGTATTTGCATTTACTGTATGCATTTGGCTTTTATCCAAAGTGATGTATATTGCATTTAATGTATACATTTTATCAGTTTAGCATTCCCTGGCAGTCGAACCCTTGACCTTGGCATTACTTGTGCCATGTTGAAGTGTCTCAGCTACAGGAATGATGACAGATTACATGATATTAATTCAGTACTGGGTAAAAGGCAAGTTTGACTGTGCAACATGAACTGTCACGTATGACAGATATACATCTAATCTATACACCTAAGCAAGCTTATGCACTAATACTGGAAAATAAAGAAAGAAGAACAGTCACATCAACACATAAATATTTATGATGCATATCCTTTCGACAATCTAGTATAAACATCTCCAATATACACATATAACATATACTGTATCATCAACTGCTGTGTTCCTATTGATTCCTCAAAAGACAGGCCTCACATTGCAGAGCTGCAACCCAAAATTTCAGACAATTTTAATGACAAGGTAGTCCAAGTTATCTAGGACTGGCAGATTTTTTCTATGACATAGGATCTTTTGCAATCCTTGAAATTGGTCTCAAACACCAACATAAATTGTGGCAATTAAGAAATCTAATCCACATTATCCACTGCAACAGCTTAGATGAAGGTCAAATTATATAATAAAAAAATCCCTAAAGATAACTCCAGAAGGTTCACAAACTCCCAGTACCTCTATCAACAACAAAACATGAATATTCATAAGCTGAGCATATGGATGTACCATCTATGAAGTACACAAATTCAACAGAATTCATGCAAATTGGAGAAAAAGCATGCACTTAAACACTTTTTTCCATTCATTTCCAATGTAAATGTGGTTTAACTACAAAGGAATAATCCATACAGATACAATCAAGTATTCCCTCCTTTCACGAATGTGTCATTTATATACAAAATGCCAGTGACCAAACAAACTCAGTGTCATCACATCCCACTGCAATATCAATGTTTTTCTCATTGCGTTACTAACATTAGATATTCTCTCGTTTCAAAGTGAGTGTAAGAGCATCTCTTTTATTCTCTCTCCGCAAATATTTCTATCACACCACAATACCTCACACCTCTACTCCATCCCTATCCAGCAAGCACTCTCACTAACAGCTTCTTTTCAAACCACGACTGAAAAACCCATTCAAAACCCAACGTCACTGATGTCACTTGCATTGTGTTTCAGCTGCCAGTGTATTTAGAACACATTCTTCTCTTGTAACCTTCCGCGTTCACACTGGGCTCTGATCACCAGCTAAACAATGAGTTCAGAGAGACGATGAAAAGCTTTAGCTTTGACTGACACATTTAAAGAAAGGTGATCTTGACTCATATTCCTTTAACTCAAGGACCTTCAGTTCACACACACACAGCAGCTTCAATAGTGCCGCTTAAGTGGGTGGTGGTGAATAATTCACTCAATAGAAAGTTAAATACTGGGGCATGTCTCAAGCAAAAATGTATTAAAGGTCTCTTCTAACGTCTCTGTTTCTGCTACAAGCAATGAATTTGATCCAGTCTTCACAGAACCAAGTGCATTTACATGCACATTCTTAAATCGATTATGCTTAATAATCCAAAAACATGTGTGGTCATGTAAAAACATAAAAATGTTTTCCTTTATCACTGCAAGGTCCTACAGCTTAAGCATAAATGTATCAACTTAACTAGATTTTTGCCCAATTTTGCCCAGGCATTTACAGCTTAACCTGTGTTCCATCTGATAATTAAAGTGCACAGGTGTAGTATGTGACAGAATATCATCTTCAAGTTAGATTTAAGCGCATACAGATACGTGTGTGTTTCACTATGTTTCAATATACTGCAAAATGCTACTCCTTCTTGACCCAAGAAGTTATTATAACTATGTTCTCATCCTGTGCAGCTATAGGACAAGTGGTACATTGAAACCTCAAATATGAGAGGAGAACAAGTCTGTGCAAGTTTCCCGCTGACATTTTGGAATATTCTGGGGTTTTCAATGCTTTAATTAACATCACAACTCAAATAAAAAAATGGAATACTCTGAGTAGATCACATGAGTGATATAGATCACAATCAGAAGTTATTACAAGCACGCAATGATGGCTTAAAGTGGGTTTTAAGCAGGGGCGTCCTTAGCTGATGTAGGGATTTTCTTAATATGAACAGACACTGATATCACTAT